TATCAGATGTTTACAGTTTTAAAGAATATCGCAGAACAGTTGCTTTACGCTCCGTGCACAGGGACGTCTGAAATGCATGCTACCGACAACGACACAGCGCATGCCGTCGCATCATCACGCACGACATGTGAAAGACTCGTCTGTCAGTGACAGTGGAATGGTTACACGATATCGGCCATGTCCCGAAGAGTGCCACCATGACTGTTTAGCAATTACAAGATGACAGGCATTGTTCATGTTCCATCATGTCAAGAGTCTGTGGAAGCGGAACTTGTGTCATTGGCTTGTTTGGACTGTATGACAGAGAAGGTCTGTCTGAGATGTTATACTGACGGTGCAGTATTGAGATATTAGCATATAATGTGTCATTGAGTTGAAAGAAACTTATAGTCACACACGTGACTACACCCCGTCATGTGTATACAGGTAATTATGTTGTATTATTAACCGAGCACATAAACAAGAACTGGAGACAAAGATACCGAGATACAGCAGAATACAGAGATACAACAAGATGCAGAGATACAACAGGATACAGAGATACATCATGACGCAAAGATACAACAGGATACAGCAGGATACAGAGATACAACAGGATATAGAGATACAGCAGTATACGCAAATACAGCAAGATACGCATACACCAAGATACATAGATAGAATATGATACACAGATACAACACGATACATAGATACAACATGATAAACAGATACAACATGGTACAGATATACAACATGATACACAGATACAACAGGATACGGAAATACAGCAAGATACGCAGATATACCAAGATACATAGTTAGAACATGATACACAGATACAGCATGATACAGAGATACAACAGGATATCGAAATACAGCAACATACGCAGATACACCAAGATACATAGATAGAACATGATACACAGATACAACATGATACGCACATACACCAAGATACATAGATAGAACATGATACAGAGATACAACATGATACAGAGATACAACATGATACAGAGATACAGTAAGATACAGAGATACAACAGGATACGCAGATACACCAAGATACATAGATAAAACATGATACACAGATACAACAGGATACGGAGATACAGCAGGGTACGGAGATACAACATGATACGGAGATACGGCTGGATACGGAGATACAGCAGGATACAGAGATACGGTAGGATACGGAGATACAACAGGATACGGAGATACAGCAGGATACAGAGATACGGCAGGATACGAAGATACAACAGATACGAAGATACAACAGGATACAGAGATACGGTAGGATACAGAGATACAACGTAGTACGGAGATACAACATGATACGGAGATACAACAGGATACGGAGATACAGCAGGGTACGGAGATACAACATGATACGGAGATACAACAGAATACGGAGATACAGCAGGGTACGGAGATACAGCAGGATACAGAGATACGGCTGGATACGGAGATACAGCAGGATACATAGATACGGTAGGATACAGAGATACAACGTAGTACGGTGATACAACATGATACGGAGATACAACAGGATACGGAGATACAGCAGGATACAGAGATACGGCAGGATACGAAGATACAACAGGATACAGAGATACAGCAGGATACAGAGACACAGTCAAATACGGAGATACAATATGATGCACAGATACAAAATGATACACAGATACGGCAGGATACTGAGATACAGCAGGATACAGACAGAGATACAGAAAGATACAAAGATACAACTGAATACGGAGATACAGTCGAATACGGAGATACAACAGGATAGAGATACAGAAGGAACGGAAATACAGCAAGATACTGAGATACAAAAGGATACTGGGTTACAAAGAATACGGAGATACAAAAGGATACTGAGATGCAGCAAGATCCTGAGATACATGCTACTGGGCTACTGCAGGGTACGTGGTATAGCAGGATACTGACATACAATATGATACAGATGTACAACATTATATTACGGATATACAACAGGATACGCAAATACAGCAAGATTCGGATATACGGCAGGACCCAGGCACATAGCTGCAGCAGGATACAGGCACAGACATATACACATATACGGAAGGACGGGGAGATACAAAAGGATATAGCAATGCGGCCCGATACAGAGATACAAGTCACAGACATATATTACACATACATATATAATAATTTCATTATCGTCTTCATAAATTTATGATACGATATGTTGTGTACATTAGCCGATACCCAATTATGTATTCAGGGTTAAACAAGGTTTCCAACAATCTATATTTGCCTAAGTCTCGATGTTAATGGGTAGGGAAGGGTTTATCGAGCTAATCGTGGATAAAAAAATATCATCACTGGAATACCCAGACGGAAAAAATATATCATGATTTCTTAGCAGCACATACCTCTTCCCCTTGGTGATTGAAGATGTTTGAGGAAATCAGATCAAGTTTTTAATTTTAACAAAAATCGTATTCCTCCTTGCAACCTGTGTGTTCATACCATGATAGGTCATGGTGACATTCCTTCTAATTAAAGAAGTATGCTACTTATCAATTCCACTATAGTGGGAATAAAAACAATATACCTTCAGTGAGTGAGTGAGTTTAGTTTTATGCCGCTTTTAGCAATATTCCAGCAATATCACGGCGGGGAACACTAGAAATGGGCTTCACACATTGAGCCCATGTGAGGAATCGAACCCGGGTCTTCGGCGTGACAGGCGAACGCTTTATCCACTAGGCTACCCCAGTGCTCTCAGTACTACTGTGTTTGTCGTGTTCACAATCCGCGCACCGCGTAGTGTGTGCAAACCTCAACATACACAGCTTGCCACATGGGGTTTGTATTCACCGAGAAAATCTGTTTCAAAGTAAGAATGAACATTTTTGCAGACTGAGCGATGATTGGTCATTACAGACACCAGCTCAGTTTTACGTTAAGTTGTAGGAAAGAGCCAGTGGTGATTCCATGCCACCATTTTCTTACACACTTTTATTTAAAGTGGCTAAATGTTGATAGGTAGTCACATAGCAGCTGGGTAGTCATAATATTTAGATGGATGCCCGTCACAACGGTTACGTGGTCCTGTTGATATAGGGCCTGCCGGGAAATCGGGTTGTTACTTACCCGTTCCGTGCGCGGCACTAACAGAATAACACTGGTCGTCTAGGAGTCGGCACACAGCTGGGTTAAACTGCCGGACTGTATTATGAAACTGACCCACACAAAGACACATCTACATATGTAAGTGCAAGACTCTTGAACATTTAAACAAACATCACCACCACACCGCTCCTTCGTTTTAAGACACACCGGCCGCGCCTTTATTATGATTATGTTAATATCAATGTCTACTGGGTGTCTGTATAGTCGATTGCTGGCAATTACGCAAGAAGACCAACTTTTGGACTTGGTTGATTAAATCAGTCATGTTGGATGATTTTCACATGTGCCTCTCACTATCACGGTGAGAGCAAACCCAGCAGTCAAGGACGGTGTAAACTGATCTACTGGTTGTACTTGTACAAGCCTCCGCGACATTAAGATGGCGGCTATTGCTACAGGAAATTGTGCAATCAATCAAGTGAGTTGTTGATTGAGCATCACTTGCCCTTCACGTTAGATCCTAGTGCACGACAATAGCTCTCAGCAAAGACAAATGTTTGAGGAAGAATATAATTGTTGCCATCCGATCCTCAATTTATTCTTGCAAAATGCTCAGCTGACTTCGTTAAGAATTCCTGTAACGTCAGTCATATAATTATTGTAACTTGTAACCAGTGTACATAATACTACCCGTCGGGAATGTAGTCAGCTGACTTGGTTGACACATGTCATCGTATCCCAATTGCGTAGATCGATGTTCATGCTGTTGGTCACTGGGTTGTCTGGTCCAGTAACGATTATTTACAGACCGCCGCCATATAGCTGGGATATTGCTGGGTGCGGCGTAAAACTAAACTCACTTATTCGTTAGTAATCGTTACACGGAAGGAATGCGTGTAAAATATAATGACGAGGTGAATTAACGCCATTCAGCATATGTGCGTTAAAATGAGTGAGTGAGTGAATTCGGTTTGACGCTGCTTTGAACAGCATACCTTACATGGTAAATTAGTCGATTCAGTGTATGGTGCTGACAAAACTAGAACGGGACAAAACAGGATTCGAACCAACAAGTAATGGTTTCTTGTGATCCAAAGGGACGCAACACTTAACAGCGCCTCGTGGCGGTTCAGATGTATGCCGCCATGTACGCGTGTGTGTGTGCATGTGTGTGCGTGAGTACGTATGCGTGCGCATGTGGGTGATTACCAACCACTCGTAAACAGCAGATCCTGGACCAGACAATTTAGTGATTGATTTTTAAAGCAATAGTTGGGGTACAGTGATCAACCAGATCACCGAGCTGCTTACCACAGCATATGTGGCTGGCATTCTAACCTTGAAAACACACTGAGAACATGTCCGTGCGTGCGTGCAATATTATACCGTCTTGGACGTAGTGAATCTTTACCGGTATACCCTACAAAACGTATATCATATCAAGTCAAATACTGTTTCATTTTGGAAATGCCATACGCTATTTGTACTGTAGTTCACATAGCATGCTAGACAACATAAATCAATGCCTAAATGTGTCTTTAAAAACTGATCATAACAGCATGTTCAAGTGACAGAGGAATTCACATACCCTCCTAGATAGCCATAACTATGTAATCCGAGTAGGGACATTGTCGCGTTGTCGCATTGTCGCCCTCTCAAAACCAAGTAAAATGAGGCAAAATATACCAAAACGCAACACGCGACATCGCGACAATGCGACAAATGGGCGAAATGTCGCGATGTTGCGTGTCGCTTTTTGGTTAATTTTGCCTCATTTTGCTTGTTTTTGAGAGGGCGACAATGCGACAACGCGACAATGTCCCTTCCAGGTTTCCATACATAACTGCAGTCCCAACATCTTTCTCGAAGAATAGGGTCTGTAAGTCCAATAAGTAAGGAAGAGAGGGTTCGTTTTAATTTTTTATAGATGTCAACATAGGAAATACTCCGAAACATAGTGTTCCTCATAATACATTACTCCTTCATCAGGTGAATGGATGGTACGAGGAAGAGAGCACATATATGTGCATGTAAGAACAACAAAAGTAACAAGACAACAAAGATGCAGGTTAAACAATGGAAGCCAGCACTTAACAGTTAATTAGCGCCGAATATAGACGCACATATACATATACTAGTATATATTCCCTGCCCATCCACAGTATGAAGGAGTAAGGATATACTCCGCAACGCTGTGTTCCTCATAAAAAAGATGTTGCCATAAATACTCTCTTCCTTATGTGTATCACTTCTAATTGCCATTCAAAGACTTCAAATAGCCAGTTCCACATATTCCTATTGTATACATATAACAGCACATCTGGTATGTCCCAGTAGCAGATCCAGAGTGTCATAAGTCCATACCGAACGCAGCTATAAACACATCTGGTATGTCCCGGTAGCAGATCCAGAGTGTCATAACTCCATACCGAACGCAGCTATAAACACATCTGGTATGTCCCAGTAGCAGATCCAGAGTGTCATAACTCCATACCGAACGCAGCTATAAACACATTGGTGATGGTTATTCCGAGGATGAGTCCCACCGTGGAGTTGTTGAGTCGGTGTGCCCGGATGTGAGCGGCTTCGTCATGGACGTCCATGGAGCCGAGGACAGCAATGATGACACCGGTGATAATCTGTAGTATTATTGACACGGCGATGAGGAACACAAGACCGATGAACGTGGCGTCATGGGGGACGGTTTTAGACTTCAGCAGGGCCTTCAGCTGGGATGCGTTCGCCATTAGAAGAGCAAAGTCCAGCATGCCTTGCGCCACAGTCTTCCGGGTGGCGTATGCCGTTCTTGACGTCCCTGACACTACTGGCTGAAATAAAATTGAGAATAAGTGTTAGTTTGTGTATCTGGATGTTGTTTTACGTCGCACAAAGCAATATTTCGACTATATGGCGGCAGTCTGTAAATAATCGAGTCCAGACAATCCAGTGATCTAACATATGTTATATTTGGGATTACACTTTCTTAGTAAAGTACAGATTCTAGTACGTTTGTTGGGTTGAGTCCCAACCGGGATTCGAACCCACAGCCTCAGAATCAGGCACCTAATCGCCAGCACACAAAGTCAACCGCCTAACGCGCTCAGCCTTTGCGGCTAAAATGGAAGCCGGACAACTGCTAGTCTATACTGCGGACTTTGTGTACCGCTCTGATAAGTGTAAATTGCCACGGCTCCCACTACCGAAAGCTATGAATACACACTGCAACTTAGCATGCTTCCAACAAAAGTACTAGAATCTGTACTTTACTAAGAAAGTTTAATCCCAAATATAACTTAGGTTACATTTGACCTTTTTCTAAATGGCATTGTGTATTCATTCCAGTGATCAATATCATGATCATCCATCTACGCAATAGGGATGCAATGATATGTGTCGACCAAGTCAGACGCCTCTTACGACAAGCACGGTTGTTGAAAATCCCGGATCTTCACGGGTGACGAGAGTGAGTGAGTGAGGGAAGGATTGAATTACAAAGTGAAATTAGTATGCCAACCCCTTCCCCCAAACATCCAGCTACAGATTGAACTGTCTTGGCATCCAGTTTAAACCTCTTAAACCATATTAGACTAATTTCTACTCATCTGGATAGAATAGGTGAGTGAGTTTAGTTTTACGCCGCACTCAGCAATATTCCAGCTATGTGGCGGCGGTTCGTAAATAATCGAGTCTGGACCAGACAATCCAGTAATTAACAGCATGAGTATCCAACTACCCAACTTGTATACGATGATATGTTATTTTGACAGAAACAAATAAGTTAGCTCTCTAAAAATTAAAAAGAGCCCCAGGCAGAGAGTCCTGAGGCAGTGAAGGTCCGGGTTAGAATTGATCTTCAGCAACCAACTACTGTCGAAAGAGGCGACTAACGGGATTGGGTGGTCAGGGTCGCTGACTTGGTTGACACATGTCATCGTATCCCATTGCAGTACATTTAAAAGTACAGTTATATACAACACATCAGTATTTACCAACCTGAGTAGCCTCTACCCTGTTCATACTCCACGTACTAGTCATCCTGGGTGCTTGGTCTGCCATCTTCTTGTTTCTAGATCATTACCAATTCATATGCGAAGTATGAAGTCCTTGAGAGGTAACAATCTATTCTTGTTTCCGTAAGTTCATGTATATGTTTAACGTCTGTTTTTATAGCCTACCATACCTGTGTTACTATATGAACCTGTTACTGTATTACATCGGACAGTGGTTTACACTATCACGGCTCTGATCCTACGGTGAGCGGTAAATTTAAACCTAACCTTACTCACATGGCATCTACGCCTTTCACCCCGTACCTACAAGTTAGAGTTCTTATCTGACAAATGACGTACCGTTATATGCAAAAGATCAATCAAGATTTATCGATCGAGGGTAAACATTGTTTAGTATAGGGGTAGTGAACGGCGAAGTGTTATCGGAATATGTATCGTGAACGCGCCTTAACTACGGTGTGTACACTGGTAAATCTATTTCCTTCTCTCTCTCTCTCTCTCTCTCTCTCTCTCTCTCTCTCTCTCTCTCTCTCTCTCTCTCTCTCTCTCTTACTCTCTCTCTCACACACACATATACACACACGTCTCACTGGCGAGTGTATTTTACAGTATTGTTATGAAGTACAATAGGGCCCTGAACTATTTTACTTAAGCCACGAGGCCACTTTGACATTGCCACTAAAGTGGATTACTTAAGGTTAACTGTGTCTAATTCCATTTACTTGCGTTGATCGGTGTGTCATATCTGTAATCCGTGCCAGTAAGGATTTATGTTCAATTTTGTTGATACGTTGCTTCAGTTAAAATGTTCCTCATAACATTACCTCAGTGTATTGCAAGGCCGGTTGAGCCATGTAAACGTTAACATAGCAGAAGTTTGGTGTCGCTAGTTGTATTGTGAGTGAGTGAGCGTAGTTTTACGCCGCACTCAGCAATATTCCAGCTATATGGCCGCGGTCGATAAATAATCGTGTCTGGACCAGACAATCCAGTGATCAACAGCATGAGCATCAAACTATGCAAATGGGATACGATGACATGTGTCAACCAAGTCAGCGAGCCAGACCACCCGATCCCGTTAGTCTCCTCTTACGACAAGCATGGGTTACTGAAGATCAGTTCTAACCCGGACCTTTACGGGTTGTATTGTGACTTGGGGTATTTTCGTTGTCAAGGTTGTATCTTTCTTGCCATCATTACTGACGACAAAGAACATACTATTAGTCATTGAAGTGGATATTCAGAGCATCCTAAATCTCAGATTGTGTACCATTCACTCGAGCACTTGAAAGTGTTGTTGTACTGACAACTGCTGTGAATTCCGGGACAGTACCACTGTGGTCAATTCTGGAGACTAGGAGGTGGCAATAAGTGCTGGTTTGGGTGCTTTTCACGAACTGCAGTATATGTGTAATACAAAATATTTGTTAAGGAAAGCAAGATTTATGAATGTCAACTTCTTTATTGTGAATAACACGACGTTTCGACGTTTCGACGTTTCGGAGCGTATGCGTGCTCATTCATCACCTGATGAAGGAGCAAGCGTACACTCCGAAACGTCGTGTTATTCAAAAGAAAGAAGTTGACATGCATAAATCGTGCTTTTCTTATGTATTCCACTTCTAAAACGCCTTTCAAAGATTTCAATTATTTTTTCCTTTTTAGTTCATTTGGTTTTTCAAGCCAGTCGGTGTATGAAATGATTGTGGACAAACTATTATCTGCCCTTCACCTGTCTGTCAATAGGAATTTCTCTTGGAGTGCCAAATGGAGTGCAAAACTGATTTACCACTAATTCGAATGTTTCAACACAAATGCAATTTTTTTATGAGTTTAGAGTTTTAAGAGTTTTAGTAACAAGAATGTTTACCCCATTTGTGGACAAATTGTTACATATACATATTCGGGCATATGTGAAATCAATTTATCTCATCAATAGCTTTCCAATGATATAAAGTTTGTTCTTGTTGCTCAATCCTTTTTGTAGGTCAAGCTATGTCCTGCTCTGTCACACACAAACAAATGGAATCAGTGTCACATTTACTGCCGCTAATGAACTGTTATCACATGGAAAGAAAAGGTATGCTAACGACCATCAGTCCATAAGAACGACGCATCTGACACATGTAATTGGACATCAACACAAGAGTGAACATTAATGGCCATTTATCTCGAATATGCCATGCTTCTTGAATATGTCGAGCAAATCGAACAACGATTGCTTGGTTGCATTTCTTCGACCATTTTAGAAACTGAGTAACTCTTATTTCTGGTTCAAATCTTAACATCCATTCACAAGACTACCGTCGACAAAAAAATCCATGTAATTGCTGCCTTTGAGTATAATTTGTTTACTGAGTTTGTCGATCTATCTGATACCATAAACGAAGTGAATCGACGGCCAGGGCCGTGAAATGGCGTCCTCATGGGATATGACGAGGAGGAAACTGAGCGACAGCGATCGTTTAGTTTGACAGCATTCTCCGCCAACTGCCGTAATTTTAGCAACATGTACATGTGAGGCTTAAACTCTTCAGGGATCGCTCACACCTGTTTCCAGAGGAGTCAATAATTCCCAGGGCACCGACGCCGATATCGTTATGGCTGCTGTGGTTGGAATATGTTTGGAAAACCCCTTGTATGAGCTAGGGTTGACATCACCTTGCCACCTTTCTTCAGTTATTCCACAAGCTGATAGAAATCATGTAACCGGCCCATATTGAAGTGGATGATCCATCTTGCTTGGTACTAACCCTTGAAGGATGTTCCCAATGATATATTAGGTCGTGCGGAAGTAAACTGAACAACGCTCAATGTAAAAAACATCCTAAATTTCATCACCCCATCCTCGATAATCTCCAGGGTATACATTACGATCACACTCCACTATACCCTGGATGCATCCACGGCTTGACCCCATAATTATATTACCTCCCTTGGTCGGCTTTTTATCTAATCAGCTAAGCCGCCGTTACATCCGAGCTTGCCAGTGTCAACAAAGATAGCGGTCGCAGTCGTGAAGGTTTGTTCGCAGTGCCACTCAGATTGTTTGGGAAATATACAGACAAATTGACAGATCTGAAACTTTAAAAAATATATGAAAGAACTCCTTCTACCTCTTTGAGAGTACCTCTGCATCAATTGTGTTGCCAAGTTTAAACGGTTAGATAATTTAAGAAGCGAAAGTGAGTTGTGATTGGTTCGCTCAACTTCCCAGCGTAGACACCTGATTGGATAAAAAGCCGGCCAAGGGAGGTAATATAATTATGGGACCAAGCTGTGGATGCATCCAGGGTATAGTGGAGAGTGATCGTAACGTATACCCTGGAGATTATCGAGGATGTCCTCATCAATAACTAGCCTCCACAGGAAACATTGCTTGGACTATAAGCTATCGCTGCAACGAAACAGACAACATTACACGAGCGTGTCTGATACCATGCATCTTACAACGAGTTCCATGATAAATGGTGTCTGACAGACACGAGTAGTGCTGTTTCGTACACACCCTAAAATCGCACATACATATTTATGGCGAATGTGCGCACAGTGGTGCATGAATACATGCCACAATGTTTATTTGTGACGTCACCCGACCCACTGCTTTTCACTCATGCCACCGCCTCCGTGGTGTAGTCGTTAGAGCGTCCGTCCGAAGAGCGGAAGGTCGCGGGTTCCATCCCCGGCCGAATCATACCTAAAAATATGGTACTCGTTGGTCCCTGCCTGGCGCTCGGCATTAATGGGTACAACAAGGACTGGTTGGCTCGGAGTCAGTATAATGTGTCTGAGTGGGCTATTCATGCTTAACTGCGACATGGTATCTCAGTGGGCTAGCATTATAAAACCAGCTTAAGTTTAGGCTAGTACAAGCAGACACATATACACACGCATATACACGTCGTCATATGAGCGAAATATTCTCAAGTACGACGTTAAACCCCATTTCACCTCACCTCACCTCACCTCACCTCACCTCACCTCACCTCACTCATGCCAAGTGTGCCCCTCCACACAAACGTGTCCGTCGCACCTGTGACTTATCGAGGCGAATATGTAGTGAAGACTGATTGAGATCTAAGAGCATGTATAAAAAATGTGAAACCATTTGTACATTTTCGACAAAGGTGTAATCGGGACTATCTTATCAATAAGTTGCAGTGAGGAAAGTAGCCCGTCATAATCTGACCTTACGTCATCACATGGAGTCGCCATGGATGGAACCGAAATTCAGTCTCTCACACATATTGATACCAGCTGTCTCACATGGATGTCTCAAGCACAGATGTGTAAGGAATTGAAGCACCAATGCCTTACAGACACGTGACGTGATCGGCCACCGTGATGTCACAAGCAGGTCAGAATACTCAAATATTCTGCCACTCATGTTGGTTAGAGCTCCGTGGTACTACGCTGAAGACAATGGTGATTACTCTTTGCAAACTGAATAAAGGAATGACAGTGGGTGGCAAATATAGTTCCACCCTTGTGTCTTTTGATACGGAGTTGATAAAGTTTACTGGACTCTAGGGCTGGGACGGGTAGGAAAAAATGGAATCGAGTACTTGCATGTACTTACCCGAATCGGAATCGAGGACCCGGAACTGTAAGGAATAAAGCGCTTCTGTCAACTTTCTGAATATCCAATCACGAGTTGACAGAGATTTTTATAGAAAAACTTGAAATGCTGTCAATAAGACACTGAAACTGAACATAGGCTGTTTATTTTACGTCTGTTTAACCAGGGAGACTATATGTGTTGTAGATTATCCCTGGTTTAACCAGGGAGACTATATGTGTTGTAGATTATCCCTGGTTTAACCAGGGAGACTATATGTGTTGTAGATTATCCCTGGTTTAACCAGGGAGACTATATGTGTTGTAGATTATCCCTGGTTTAACCAATATAGCGAGTAACACCATTGCCGCTGTTTAACCAGGGAGACTATATGTGTTGTAGATTATACCTGGTTTAACCAGGGAGACTATATGTGTTGTAGATTATCCCTGGTTTAACCAGGGAGACTATATGTGTTGTAGATTATCCCTGGTTTAACCAGGGAGACTATATGTGTTGTAGATTATACCTGGTTTAACCAGGGAGACTATATGTGTTGTAGATTATCCCTGGTTTAACCAGGGAGACTATATGTGTTGTAGATTATCCCTGGTTTAACCAGGGAGACTATATGTGTTGTAGATTATCCCTGGTTTAACCAGGGAGACTATATGTGTTGTAGATTATCCCTGGTTTAACCAGGGAGACTATATGTGTTGTAGATTATCC